TCTGGTCAGTTTTGTGGGGTTAAGCTATCTAAAGAAGGGCCAGTGCTTTCTCATTTGCTGTTTGCTGATGATGCCTTGATTTTCTGTAAAGCAAATGGTAAGCATGCTGAGTTACTTTTGGACATGCTCCATAAGTACAAATTGTTTACTGGGCAGAAGGTCAATCTCCACAAATCTTCTCTGTTTATCAGTAGAAATGGGTCTGAGAATCTGCAGGTGTCTTTATCTAATATCCTTCATGGGGTGAGTATCAAGAGATCTTCTAAATATCTGGGCTTACCGCTGGGGATTGGTGCATCAAAATTGACACTTTTAATTTTGTGATTGAAGCTGTGAGGGAAAGGATTTGTAGCTGGAAAAATACTTTTTATCATCTGCTGGTAGAGAAACATTGGTTAAAGCAGTGCTTTGTGCCTTACCTGTATTTGTGATGTCTTGCTTCATTATTCCAGTGAAGGTGTGTAAGGAAGTGTGCAGGATTGTAGCTAATTTCTGGTGGAGCAAATGAGATGCCCAAAAGAAGAGTTTGCACTGGTGCTCTTGGGATAAGTTGACTGCAACTAAAAAGGAGGGTGGATTGAGGTTCATGGACCTGAAGCTGTTTAATAAAGCATTGATTCTCAAACAGCTGTGGAGGATTCTTGATAAGCCAGACACTCTTATGTGCAGAGTGCTTAAAGGAAGGTATTTCAAAAACTGCTCCATTTTTTAGTGGAAAAATACAGGGGGGGCTTCTTGGCTATGGAATACTTGGGCCTTTTTATTGCCTGACTTGCAGAAACAGATTAACATTGTTGTCAGAAATGGAGAGACCATTAGTATCAATGAAGCTAACTGGGTCCCAGGGTTGGGGAATAGAAAACCAAAGTTGAGGGTGGATGTGGATGGCAGTCTGTTCAGGGTGAAGGACTTGTTATTGGCAGATGGTGTGTAGTGGGACTCTAATCTGATTAGAGCTATTTATGAAGAAGAGGATGCTGAGAAAATCCTATTGATCAAGTCTTTAAATCCCAGTTTACCTGACCTTTGGAAATGTGCTGCTGTTCAGAAAGGCAAGTTTTCGGTGAAGAGAGCTTACTCAAACCTGTTATCTGTCAAGATAGGGCAACATGCAGAGGCTGAATCCAGTACAATGGCTACCAGAAGCAAGAAAGCTAGGACAAGATGTTGGAGCCTAAAAGTTATGAGAAAGGTGAAAATTTTTATCTGGCAATGCTTTTCTAATTTTCTTCCTGTTAGCTGTAACTTGGTAGCTAGAGGGATGGAGGTGGAGACCATTTGTAGGGTATGTGGAGAGGATTAGGAAACATTGGAACATTGTCTGTTTCTCTGCAGGAAGGCTAGGGCAGTTTGGAAACTCTCCCCAGTTTCATGGAACAGAGTTCAGGAGGACAATCTTTCTTTCAAACAATGGTGGTGGTGGGTGAGTGGTATGGGTTCTGAGATTTGGGCTGAAGACAGGATACAACTATCCACATATATACTTTGGTGGCTGTGGAGAGCTAGGAACTTGTGGGTGTTTGAGGGTAAGTGGATAGAGAAAACATGGATCATCAACTCTGCTCAGGGTGACTGGTTGGATTTCAAGCATAGCAACACTACTGGACATTAGAGGATCTTGCTGGATGAATTAGGTCTTGAGTCAGTTTTTCATTTTGCATGTTTTCTTGGTGTTCATGTGTTTCACTTGGGTGTTGCTGTATTAAGTTGTTTAATTGGGCTCTAGTTGATGTATTTATGTTCCTGAGACTTGTAGCTATTGTTTGTAGTAGTTTGTAGTCCGTTTTATTCTGTTTTGCTGGTGCTTAGGGAACAGTATGGCTTCCCTCTCATGTTCCTGCCGAATTGGGAGTATTTCCCGTGTACATTGACCTTTTATGGTCTGTTTTAATGAGATCTTTATATCGTTGGGAAAAAAAAAAGTTAAGGGTTGTGCGTGTTTTTGAGAGAAAATTTGATGCAAAGTTCAAGAATTTGTTGGAAATCATCTTCCACGATGAAGAGGTAAATTATTTTACAACGAATTCAAAAATATTTTAGATAATCCCATTGATACATGTATTGATTGAAGTTTATATTTACGTTATGTTGTAGGCCGCTTGCATAACTGCTATGATTCAGTCGGTGAATATTCCAAAGTTTAAAGATTTTCTCAAATAAGGCCAAGTATATGCTATTCGAAATTATCAAGTCGATAGTAATATAGGATTATACAAATCTTCGATTCACAAGTATAAGCTTATGATCCATGGAATGACGGAACTATTGAAGTTCAAAGGAGAGTTTCTGGAATGGCGTTTTGATTTTAGGAATTTCATCACCCTATGTGACCCTAAGAACATAGATGAATCCATCATATTTGGTATGTTCGATATTATGTTTTTCTTTAAATGCAATCACTATAATTTTTTAATTTGTGATCATAATTTAAATGTTTAATTATTTTATTAGATGTGATTGGCTTTGTCGTTGAAATTGGCTTCGTTGTCATCAAGATCATCAAATGAGTGCCAACAAAAATGATTGTTTTTCATCTACAAGACTTGGAGTAAATGGATATTATGTTTATTTTTTTACTTTTTTTTTTATCAGTTGGTTTTCTATATATTAGTGTACTTATTTCAATATATTTAAAAATTTAGGGAGAACAAAATTAGTTGTACGCTATAGAGTGATTATGTTGACAAGTTTCTGGAATTGGAGGCCAAGTATGCTGGTCGGGCTAATCCTTAGTACCGATTGTGAATCTTTGTCGTGCAAAGCCGTATGGAGGTAATTAATCTCGAAATTAATTTTTTATACTCTACGTTTCATTGTAAATTCAAAAGATATTTTGTATGTTACATTTATTGTATTTGGATCTCAAATAGCAAATGTGGGATTGACTACTTCTCACGATGTGACACGACTTATTTCCTTAGAGTTTGTTCCCGAAATTGAAGACTTCCGTATGAGGTAAGATTTATTTTTTTTTGTTGCTATTTATTTAATTGTATTTCTTATAAACGATTTTTTTTTAATTATTAATATTACATATTGGTTATAAGGTTTGGTAATGAACGTGTTCGCCCTCCGGTGGTTAATTAGAGGAGTTCAATTGTGGCTCGTGATTGAAATTGACGAACTTGCAATGGGAAATGTTGTGGTTGCTTCTGTCGATAGTCTTTATGAAACCGAGCGGGTAATTAATGTCGTTATATATCTATATAATCAACTCTAACATAAATTTTATATTTTTGATAATTTATTAAATTGAACCTTATATTTTATTTTCTTATAAGGAAACAAATTTCATGGATTTGTGCTACTATTCAATTTGGGATTTATGATTGGTACTACCACGCATGTTGCCTATGTAGTAGTAATAATGATCCCGTGCATCGCACGGGTACTATACTAGTCTATACTTATATAAAAAGTCATCTTATTTACCAAAATTAGTAGTAAAAAAAGTCAAAGGTAATTAATGCATTCTATTTTCATCAAGTATTTTATTTAATTATTTTATTTAATTGTTTTATTCATAACACAATTTCAATACAACTTATCATGATTTTTCTATTGTGATTAAAAACCAGATTTTATATTTAAAATCTTGTGAAATTATTATTATTATTTTTATAAAGCACATATTATTTGTTAAAAAACTATATATATATATATATATATATATATATATATATAATACACATCACAGTACCATGATAGCTGATTTAAATTCCATCCTAACAAAATGGCAATGATTTAAATTTGAACGCACCTATGCGTTTGACCAAATGTCTGGTTGATTTAAAATTGAGCCCATAAAAAATTATTTAAATTTAAACAAACCAAAAATTTTATGTACTTTTTATTTATAAATATATTGAAAGTGGTATTTAATGGTCGATATATAAACTAATTTAATATATTTGCAATGAATAAAAGTTTGAATGAATAACTAGTACGTACCCTCGTGCAATGCACGAGACATAGATATTAAATGAATTATTTTCAGACGACTATGTTCGTTTAAGTCTAAAAATCAATAGAGTTATCATATATTTTTCACTTGTATATTAGGGCTAGCTTGTAAAAATATATTATGTTTGTAAATCTTCAATATATTATTAAACATAGGGCTAGCTGATATCTTCAATAAATCTTTGGGTCAATTTTGCTTCAATGCTTTGCGATCCAAGCTTGGTCTTGTCGATCTTCATCAAGCCCGACCTTGAGGGGGGGATGTTCAAATAATATATTTTTCACTTGTAAGGTTATTCATTATGTTTGTGACTTATGAGACACAGACATACAATTCCATACATATTTGTCAGAAGGCGGCTTAATAATTTTCATAGATTTCTTTTTATTATATAATTAAAATAATAATTAAATATTATATGGTGAACAAGAATAAATAAAACTATTACTTTCTCTTATATGAAGGGATAATTTTATATTCTAAAATTATTTTTTTATTAGTATAAATATTTTAGTTGGATAATATATTAATTATTTTACACGCTAGCCCTAACATGCTCATATTTAATGTTCTGGCTAAAAAAACATTCGTTAAAAGATGTGGAAAAAAACTTATAATCCTATTGTTTTTTAGACAACACTTAACGTTGATTAAAAAATATAGAAATTAGATAATAATTCTATTATTTTTTACACTTAAACGAAAAAGACTGTGAAAATAACTCATTTAATATCTCTGTCCTGTGCATCACACGAGATACATACTAGTTATATAGATATACATATACATTTGTACTAAATTTTTTTTTTCCCAAATGATAAATATAATATAATGATTATTTTATGATATATTCACAAATTATTTTTATGACCATAAAATATTTTGGCGTAATCACAAAGGGCACCCTGGAATTCAACGATTTTGCTTGCATTGCCCCCTGGTTGGCTCGTTGGACATCAAGTCAAAGTCTTCGTCCTCGCCCGCTTCACCATAACTGTTTACTGCTTCACTCTCAGACCATCCTCAAAACTCACAAATGGCGGAAATGAAGTCCCTCGCAATTCTCTCCATAATTTTGTTTAATCTGATCTCGATTCTTCCGCTCCGCACGTTATCGTTCTCTCCCGACCACCCCACTGACCGCCAAATCCTAGTTTTGCTCGACGATTTAGCTCTCAAATCATCGCATTCCCTCTTCTTCGCCGCTCTCCAGTCTCGAGGCTTTAACCTCGATTTCAAGCTCGCCGATGATCCTTCCATCGCCGTCAAGCGGTACGGCCAGTACTTGTACGACGGCATTATTCTCTTTTCTCCGACAGCTGACCGTAAGTTTGATTTCACTTTTTGTTTTTCAATTTTGCACATCTGCGTGTTATTTAACGAGTCCATTCCTCTAATTGTACGGCCATTCTTGCTTCTCTCTCTCTCTCTCGCTCTCCCTCTCTCTCTATTTTAATTGCATTGTTATAATGCTTGAAGAATTTGTGCAGGGTTTGGAGGGTCGTTAGATGTGCAGGAGATTTTGGATTTTATTGATTCTGGCCATGACTTGATAATGGCAGCCGATTCGAATGCCTCTGATTTGATCAGGAACATAGCAGCTGAATGCGGTATTGATTTTGATGAGGTCTGTGATTCAGTCCCTTCAATGTGCAGTAATGATGGATGATCCTCCCTTTTGTGTTTAATGGCTCGTATTGATAACATATTTTAAGCTACATGAAATTAATATTGTCAAACTGATAGTATTCATTGGTAGGGTTTAGTAAGTGTTGCCTTGCAAGAGTACAAAAGTAGTCTAGAGGATCGTAAGCTCATGAAACAAGGCTATAAAGCTTACAATGTAAAGGCTTTGATGTGTTATCTACTATATGAACGACCTCACACTGAAATTGACATTTTCCATTTAAACCAGATTATTACTAAAAAAACGATTTACAGTTTGTAATTTTGCCTGGCCATGCTTTGAACTACAATTCGTCTTTATTGTGGTGACAAACTTTGTATAATGATTATTCTTTTAAATACTATAAATGTATAGCTTGTGCTCGTGTAACTATAATGGTAATATCATGAAGAGTCAGATGGTGCAGTTTTGTGTATCTTTTTTATACAAATACACCCAACTCACCATTGCTTTAATCACCATAATGCAATGGCACTCCATAGGTTATTTATTTTCCATTTTGTTTGTGTGTATATTTTTATGCCAACTCCTCTCCAGAATGTTAATTATTTTCTGAAATCACTAACTTTTGTGACTAGCGTCAGTTTCTAAAGTTATATATGCTGCGTTTAATGGAACATTGTTTGCATATCTCTGTTCTGTTTATCTACCTATCTGTGTTTCTTTCTTCACAGCCTTAGCCTAGTTATCCAGTACTTGCACCTTAATTTTTATATATATTCCCTTTCAATTTTATATTGTCACAGGAGTTTTCTGTTTTGCAGGATCCGTCTGCCGTGGTCATTGATCACACTGGTTATGCTGTCTCTGAAAGTGCAGGAGACCATACCTTAATTGCTTCCGATAGTTATATTCAATCTGATGTTATTCTTGGAAGTAGTAAAATAGAGGTCAGTTTATGAAAAGTCTACTGCTATATTTCTGCTTACGTCTTCTGGGGATCATCATAATCTTTGTTCATCCCTCGCATTCATGTACAACCTGATCGATTAAGATCTATTCCCAATAATTTGCCCCAATAAGAAAATTTATCATCGTTATTCCTGTTTTACATGTTATGAGCTTTTCGTGAACATCACTGATCAGTTTCAATATGCCAGCTGACATTTATTAATGCATGCTTTATGTTTGTGGAACAGGCCCCGGTCCTTTTTAAAGGGATTGGACATTCAGTGAATCCTGAAAATAGCTTGGTATGTGGAAGCTTGTTGTGTTTTTTATGCAAGAGTCGAACAGAGTGTGAACATGTTTCAGGATGTTGATATATGTACTGTTTTTTTCCCCCTGGGCTGTGCTCGTTCTCTCTCTCTCTCTCTCTCTCTCTCTCTCTCTCTCTCTCTCTCTCTCTCTCTCTCTCTCTCTCTCTCTCTCTAGGTTCTGAAGGTCCTTTCTGCATCTTCTTCAGCTTATTCTGCTAATCCTACCTCGGAGTTGTTAATTCCTCCATCCCTTACTGGAACAGCTATATCATTAGTTTCGGTTCTCCAGGTTTGCTTTGGTTTCCATTTGTTATGCTACTCAGAGTTCTGACCATGTTTAACTGTATTTCAATACTTTTATCTGGTTGTCTAAGCTTTAGATTTTCGACCTGCAATATTTTAGTTTTGGTAGTATATCATCCAATTCCAAGTTTTTCATAAGGTATACAACTTTATTCATTTTCTGTAGCTAAAAGCTATTTAAAGAAGAAAAGTGTAAAATACTACCAAATGGTATATATTTAAAGGAGTGAATACGGAAATTGAGTTGATAATATGGTAGTTTTCAATTAAATTCATGAAGAAATCTCAGAAAATGAAAAATGATTTGTGTGAAACCTGAAAATGATATATAAACCTACTTTTCCCTTGCTGGTTGACGCTTGGTACAAGGGCTCATAACAAAACTTTGGTGATTTAGCAATTGAAATATATAAAGGATGTTTCACTGGCTTAATAGCAAGTGTCTTCTGAGCATTGTGGCTTTATGAACATGTGTAGCAGCATCCGTCTCTTAGTGATACATCGATTAATTATTTATAATGATCATAATATACCCTGTCAATTCGGTGATACACTGCTTCATGCTTCTGAAATACTTCTAAAATTCCTATTTTATGAATCAGTACCCTCTGTCATCATTACAGGCTAGGAATAATGCAAGAGTTATGATATCGGGATCATTGGACTTGTTTAGTAACCGGTAAATTGTTGCAGTAAACATTTCTTAAAAAAGAAAATAAAAATCTTTTCGATAATTGTTCCCTGCAAATTTACTAGATGAAGTCTCCTTAATGTGTGTGCATGTCAATTTTAATGCAACAGGTTATTGAGAGCAGGAGTACAGAAGAATGGGAGCTTGAAAAAGTTAGTGGAGCTTTCACCTGTCTTCTTTATTTCATCTCTCTCTTTAATATTTATCAATTTTGTAATTTATCCTCACTTGAGTTCTTGAATTTTAATTTAGATACATACAAATTCAATTTAAGAGCGTTTATGGCTTTACCATGCTTATAGTTTTCGTGAGCTATATTCTTGTGGTGGAGTTTATTTCTAAAGTTTCTTTTGTTACTAGGAATAGCTCTATAAGTGAGTTATAGAAAAAGATTACTTCGGCATATTTGCTGAAACAGAACCAATGCTTATTTGACTCATTGTAGCTACTAACAGATACTAATTAATTTTTTGACAGATATGAAAAATCTGGTAATGAACAATTTGTCACTGAAATTAGCAAATGGATATTCCATGAAAGAGGTCATCTGAAGGTGGTCTACGTTTCATGTGCCATTGTGATTTCTTTCCTTATGTCATAAGAGGTTAAATTGCTCTCTATTCTCCAATTTGAATTTGTAAATTTATCTAATCATGTAGGCCATCAGCCTTAAGCACAATAAAGTTGGTGAAACTGAAGAACCTCCAACGTACAGAATCAATGATGATCTGGTAATGCTAACCCCAACCCTACACCATCGCCCTCTCAAAATAATAACTAAAACTAGTACAAATTGACGTATCCGAAATGCCTAATTTGTTGAAAAGATATTTTATTTAGTATGTTTCTTTTTAATTGATGTCAATATCATTGTAGGAGTTCTCTGTGGAAATCTATGAATGGTCGGGCACAAGTTGGGTCCCGTATGTCGCAAAAGACGTGCAGGTGCAGTTCTACATGATGAGTCCCTATGTCTTGAAAACGTTATCCACAAACCAGAAGGTAATTTGGTTTATGTCTGGGCATAAAATCCCCTCAGTAGTTACCAACATCGCTTTTTTGGCCCTATGTTTTTTTTGTGAATTTGTTGTAGGGGCTCTATTACACTTCATTCAAGGTTCCAGATGTTTATGGAGTTTTCCAGTTCAAGGTTGAGTATCAGAAGCTTGGGTACACTGGCTTGTCACTTTCGAAACAGGTAAAACCCCCTGCCGCCAGCATCATAATATATCCTAGCAAATTTGTTTTACTTTTGATGTTTGTTTAAGATGTCTAACCCAATTTAAGTTCTTTTCCTTGCAATTAAGAACTTGGGCTACATGATTGCTTTTATTGAAGATTCACGGTATTTTCCACATATTTAGGTTCCCCTACCGATAATGTTACGACCTTGTGTTAACTTCAAGATCGAGCATGTGCATTTAGAAATGCAGATATCAAAAAGCTATGCCATGTAGATTTTAGGTTTAGAGAAGAAAATGCAGAAGATTTTAAAATCCTTGGCTTGCACTAGGCTATTACTCACTGAAATGTATACCCTACTAGAAAACCTATTAACTCGGTGTAACTAAACTAGGATTTTTGTTTGCAACAATTTTCAGATTCCAGTAAGGCCCTTCCGGCACAATGAATATGACAGGTTCATCACAACAGCTTTTCCTTACTATGCAGCTTCATTTTCTACGGTAAATTGCCCTCTCTCTCTCTCTCTCTCTCTCTCTCTCTCTCTCTCTCTCTCTCTGTGTG